AATGCCCTATGAGCCTAGAGAGGACCAAGTTAATGTCCCAAGCAGGAACCGGTTGGCAGATGGGCGGGTACAACCCATCGAGGCCCTTCAGGAAGCAACTGACCAGGGGGTTAGCAAAAACCGAGCGGCCCTGTACCCCCGGATGGAAAGCCGAAATGGCAGCCAGGTGTACTCTTCTAGAAGACAAGGAGAGACCTTCCTGCTTTAGGTGGAAAAGATAATCCAAAATCTGGGGCACTGAGGCTAGCGCCGGGGGAAAGTCACGCTGAGCTCACCAGATTGAAAATCTCTTCCACTTGGCCAGGTACGTGGCCCTAGTGGAGGGTTTCCTACTGCCCAGGAAAACCTGTCTGACTTGTTCTGAACAGGAGAGCTCAAACAGATTCAGCCATGGAGCCTCCATGCTGTGAGATGTTGCGACCGCAGGTTCAGGTGCAGGAGCCACACGTGATCCTGTATGAGAAGGTCCAGGAAGAGTGGTAAGGTAATCGGGGCTCCCACTGACATGTCTAGGAGAGACATGTACCAATGTTGGTGGGGCCAGGCTGGTGCTATGAGGATCTTGAGCAGGACCTTGTGTACAAGCGGTAGGGGTGGGAAGGCATTTAGGAGTGGACCCCCACAATGGAGGAGGAACGCATCTGCTGTGAAGCCCAGACTGTGATTCTGGAAGGAGCAGAACTGCTGACACTTCCTGTTGCATCGCATGGCAAAGAGGTCAATCAGGGGACAGCCCCACTTCTGGAAAGGGCAAAGGGACCACTCGTGGATGTGAAAAGACTGCTGAGGTGGTCCGCCAACTCGTTCTGAACCCCTGGAAGATACAACGCCTGTAGATCAACTGAATACTCTACAAAAGTCCCATAACCTGAGGGCTTCCTGGCACAGGGAAGAGGAGCGTGCACCCACCTGTTTGTTGATATAGAACATCGCAGTCGTATTGTCCGTCATGACCGATTCACATCGACTTGCCAGATATGGGTGGAATGACTGGCACGCTAGGCGTACCGCCCTGAGCTCCCTGACATTGATATGAAGATGGAGATCTGTCTGTGACCAGAGGTCCTGAATCCTGTGGCCCCCAAGATGAGCTCCCCACCCCAAATCTGATACGTCCGTCACTAGCACTAGGGATGGTTGTGGAGCAGCTAAGGGAAGTCCTGAGCACACCTGCTGAGCATCCATTGACCACAGGAGCGATAGGGCGAGGCAGGGTCATGATCCTGTCCAAGCTGTCCCTGGCAGGTCTGTACACTGACGCAAGCCACGACTGCAGCGGTTGAAGCCTGAGTCTGGCGTGCTGAACCACATACATACAGGCCGCCATGCGGCCAAAAAGTTTGAGACAATTTCTTGTGGTGGTGGTGGGGAACTGCCTGAGTCCCTGGATCATGGCGTCGAGGGCCTGGAATCTCGCCTGCGGGAGGAATGCTCTGGCTTGGGTTGAGTCCAGAACCCCCCCTATGAACTCCATCCTCTGGACTGGGGACAGAGTCAATTTCACCTCATTCAGAAGCAGGCCCAGATTCTCGAAGGTGGCTCTGATGAATGCCACCTGAGCTTTCACCTGAGCCCTGGATTGGCCTTTGATCAGCCAGTCATCGAGGTATGGGAACATCTGTACCTGATGTCTCTGCAGAAAAGTGACAACGACTGCCATGCACTTGGTGAAGACTAGAGGTGCTGCTGACAGGCCGAAAGGGAGGGCAGTAAATTGGTAATGGGAACCATTGACCACAAACCTGAGGAACTTTCTGTGGTTGTGAGTGATTGCTATGTGAAAATATGCATCCTTCAAGTTGAGGGGGGCATACCAGTCTGCTGGATCCAGTGAAGGGATAATGGAGGTCAGGGAGACCATGTGGAACCTGAGTTTCCTCACAAACTTGTTGAGGTCGCGCAGGCCCAGGATAGACCTGAGGCCGCCTCTGGCCTTCGGTATTAGGAAATAGCGGGAATAGAAACCCTTGCCCCTGTGCTCCAGTGGAACCTCCTCTACCGGCCCCAGTGCTACGAGTGATTACACCTCCTGAATGAGAAGTTGCTCATGAGAAGGGTCCCTGAAGAGGGACGGGGAAGGGGGGTGGAAGGGCAGGAGGACACAGAATTGGATGGAGTATCCCAGGCTCTACTGTGCGAAGCACCCAGCAGTCCAAAGTTATACGGGATCATGCACCATAGAAAGGGGATAGTCAGAAGGAATCGGTAAGGCGGGGTAGATCCTGTCTCTGGTCTGGCATGCCGTCCTCGATCACACCTTCAAAAGGCCGGTTCAGGGCCAGAGGGTGGTTTGGGCTGGCCTTGATTAGTGGAGGAATGTTGCCTTCTCCTACCGCTCTGGTTCCTCCTCCTAGAATTGTCCTGGCAGTTCTGCTGCTGGAACCTTGAGTAGGTTGTGGGTGGAAGTGTCTCCACTGTGGGGTGGGGGCATGCAAGCCCAAGGATCTGAGGGTGGCTTGGGAACCTTTTAGGCTCTGAAGCCGTTTGTCCATCTTTTCTGAAAAGAGTCTCACCCTCAAACAGGAGGTCCTGAACTGTCTGTTGGACTTTGTAGGGCAACCCTGAGACTTGCAACCAGGCCCCCCACCGCATAGCCACCCCTGTTGCCATGACTCTTGTGGCAGCGTCGGCAACTTCTAAAGCTATGTGCAATGAAGCGTGGGAGACTAATTTCCCTTCTTCCACCAAGGCAGTGAACTCTGACCGAGAGTCCAAAGGGACGAGCTCCATGAACTTTGCCATTGAAGCACAGGTGCTATAAGAGTACCTGCTCACAATGGCCTGCTGGTTAGCAATACGGAGTTGTAACCCACCAGTGGAATAGACTATTCTACCCACGAGGTCCAGGCATTTAGCGTCCCTATTCTTTGGGTAAGGACCTTGGAAACCTTGTCTTTCCCGTTGGTTAGCTGCATCGACCACTAGCGAGTCCGGAGGTGGATGGGAGTAGAGATGCTCAAAACCTCTGAAGGGGACGAAGTACTGCCGCTCATTACGTTTGGCAGTGGGTGACAGGGATGCCGGTGTCTGCCACAGGGTCTTAGTGGTGTCCACCACCGTCTTTATGAGGGTAACGCTACCCATGAAGGCCCCGAGGGTGCTAGGATGTCCACCATGGGATCCGTGTCTTCTATCACCTCCTCGGCCTTGATGCCCAGACCTTGGGCAGCCCTGCGGAGCAACTTCTGTAGGACTCTGTTATCCTCTAACGCAGCAGCTATAGTCGTCCCTGCCAACGCTTTGTCTGGCGACGAGGAGGAGGAAGCGTGTGCCAGTAGTGGAAGCTCTCTACCATCTGCCCTGGAGGGTCACGTGACTCCCAGGGCAGCGTTGGAGGAAGTGGTGCCAGGGCCATAGGTGTCGTAGCAAACGTCGGCATCAGCATCAGTCTCACCGGAGACAGCTGAGTCAGCATGCTCACAGGAGCTGCCGGGGTCAGGGAGGGGGGCGAGGTGCCTGCATCGAGATTGACACAGACAACGGTGCAGGTGTGGGAGACAGGTGCGTCAATGTCGTGAAGGCCGATGCCGAAGTCAGAGCTGAGCACGGTGCCGGAGTTGATGACGGGGCCGGAGGCAAAGGCGTCGGGACCGTAGGTGCCGGAGTGGATGCACAGTGGAAGGCGGCACGAAAGTGGCGGAGGCCACTGAAGATGTCACTGAGTGTGCGCCCCTGGTGATAAGCCCAGGGAACCCTTAAGGGCCACTTAGGTGGATACTGCCACTGCAGAGGCCACGTCTGATGCTCCCTTCTGTCTCTGCCCGACCTCGCTCTAAGGCTTCTGCTCCTACTGGAGCGGTAGGAGTCGGGCTCCGACTCCGGGGTCTCAGACACCGAAGACCACAGAGGAGCTGATCCTCAGTGCCTCGAATGTCAAGAGCTCAGGGAGTGGGAAGGCGCTCTGTCGGTGCGTGTAGGTGCCGATGGACAAGGCGAAGGGGAGTGCCTCGACATCATAGCCAGCTTTCCCTTCGCACTGGAGGACGGAGCTCCATCGGCGCTAAGGGTTCCTCCATGGCAGGCGAGAACAGTGCTGTCAGGTGGAGGAGATCTCTGGCGGCCGCGTATGCTTCCGGTGTGGATGGGAGCTGCAGCTGCTGTGTAGGTGCTGGTGATCGAGGTGGGGCTGGAATCGACTGCCTCACCTGGACAGGAGTCGATACGGTCCCGGAAGGAGACGCTGAGGAGTGTCCCGCCTGGGGTCACACATCTCGAGGCTTAGCCAGAGGAGAACGGTTGTCTGGCTTTTTCTTGTTTTGAGGCACTGGAGAATGGGAGCAGTGCCTACTATCAGATGGGCCCCGCGAGGAGCTGTGGCGGTGCCAACCGTCCTTGAAGGAGTCCTTCCTCGTCATCGAAGTTGCTGCCGGCGCTGGGGCGCTCCACGTTGAGGACGACGCCGTACAGGTCGGGTCAATTGAGCCTGGGTCGGAGTGGGGGCATAGGTCTGCATCCATGAGGATCACCTTCAGCCGCTGTTCCCTTTCTTTAAGTGTTCTCGGGCGGAAGTCGCAGCAGATCTTACAACAATCTTTCTGATGGGTCTCCCCCAGGCACTGAAGATACGAGTGCGGGTCAGTCTTCTGCACGTGCTTGGCACAGGCCATGCAGTTCTTGAAGCCCAGGGACCGCGGCATGCCATGGCACCGGGGCTGAAGTTGCGGGGGGGAACCCCAACTACTATACTATGCTATACTATTAACTGGTGTACTACTAAAAACAAACTAACCATATACACGGAATAGAGAAGAAAACTTGCTGAGCAAAAGCCAAGGGAAGTTCCAGCCACCGTCACTGGCGGTAAGAAGGAATTGAAGGGGTGGCGGGTCAGCAGGGCTATATATTAGGCGCCATGAGGGTGCGACTCCAGGGGGGGCCCAGGACAACCCGATGGATGCTGCTAAGGGAAAAATCTTCCGGCCAACGTGCACTTACGCGCACACACACCTGATTGGAATTGACATGAACAAGCACTCGAAGAATTGTGTCTTTTAATTTACCTGCTGATTTAGCTGTTCTTCTAAATTGATTTTTGCTGTCTGTAAGCCTGTTATCAAGTCTTCAAGGCGATTATGAACCTATACAAGCATTAAAAAAATATATCACATTTGTAACTTTCCACACTCAAGTTCATATACAGTTATAGAACAAAAGTGATGCAAAGAAACAAACAAGTATTGTGAAAATTTCTAAGGGCAGTCAGACATATTCAAAGAATATTTCCCTTTTTGTATTATACATACCAATCATATCTGTTTTGATGTCTACGTCAACTGATTATTTCCCCTAACATTCCAGACATTATGGGACAGATTTTCAAAGGGCTTCTGAAAACGTGCTAATAAAACTGAGAAGAAGTCGTTCATCTGCTAAATGAAAATCCACATTCTTTTCTAAATTAAAAAACCACAAATATTATCTATATTTGAGATCCTATTTGATTTTGGAAGCCGTGTGCAATGTGTTGCAATGCAGGAGGTGCAGGTTCAGGAACCACTGAGAGATTCCAATTCCAATAGACTAGTGGAATTTGGAAACATCAGAAGCATTATGGCCATCACCTTTATAAAGAAATGGTTTAGATTTTTCTCAGGTGTTCAGGGAGAGGATGGACTGAAAGGGGCAAGTTATACGTTGTGCGTAGTTAGGGTTTTAAGCTATTATGGTAGATAAAATGAATATAGAAGAAAATGTAAAAATAGCTTTGTATGTATAATAGTTTCAATGTTTATATTGTGTTTTCTACTTTTTGTAAGGTGCTCAGAGCAATGAGTGAATGCTTGAAATCAGTCAAAAAAAGAAAAAAAAAACTGTGCTTTATAGAAAGGATAATTTATGTGATGGCCCCCACAAGATTAAAAAAGGACTGTCAATCCAGAGAGGATGACAAATTACCAATAATTTGCCTTCACAGAGTATTTTGACTCAACAATTCTATGTGTCACACGTCTATGAACTATGTAAAATGCAGTAACTGTTGTGAAAGCATGCATACCCTATTCTCAGAATCAAATATTCAAGGCAAAAATTATAATAAAGTTCACAGCCTAAATAACCCCCGTTTTTTACTGTGGCTCATCATCTAGCAGAGAACTTAGAAGAAGTGTGGATCTTCAGAGTCAACATACAAGTCTCCTATGTTATTTGCCATATATAGAGAGAAACATAGAGGAGCCTATGTTCAGATCCATTCAATTAATCTCTAAATCCAGGCCTGTTATTATACTGCAGGTGTCTCAGTACCTTAGGGTATACGGTGGTAATTCATTACATACAAAATCTCTTCCACAGCATGCCTAGAAAAAGCCTAATAGCATCTTCTTCTCCCGACCCCAAAACTACTTCCCACTTACTTCAGTGATAGAATCTTCTCCCGTGATTGAAATAGACTGTGGATACCAAGAATAATTCCTCTCAGAACAACTTGCTTCTGCAAGCATTTCTCCTCAGTTTTCACACAGTCCAACTCAGAGAGCTACAGGACTATGTGACAAAAGGTCTATCTTTGAGAAAGAGGTGTACGGTAAGATGAGTCTATATTAGACCTGAAAACAATGGCCTTCATAGCTAATTGGGAAAGATGAAAACTAATGATGCTCCCCATATTGCTTTGCCAGTTGGGTGGAGTGGACAGTTCAATATCTGTGCCCATTCATATTTGATTTCTCTGTGGCACTGCCTACAAGGGTGTCAATTAGTGACAACTGTTGTGGTGATTTCTCTGATGTGGACCTTATTTAAATGAAAAGCTAGCCATCACATAAGAAAAACGGATCTTAAACAAAAAGTCAACATCTCACAAAAAGAAAAGGAGTACTTGTGGCACCTTAGAGACTAACCAATTTATTTGAGCATAAGCTTTCGTGAGCTACAGCTCACTTGCATCCGATGAAGTGAGCTGTAGCTCACGAAAGCTTATGCTCAAATAAATTGGTTAGTCTCTAAGGTGCCACAAGTACTCCTTTTCTTTTTGCGAATACAGACTAACACGACTGTTACTCTGAAACATCTCACAAAAGGTACCTACCACAGGGATCCAACTTTGTTGTTTATTGCACATCACTAAACATAGTATTAGGAAGCAAAGGAAAAAAGCAACTATACATAGCAAAACCAACCTCTGCTTATAGAAAAATCTCATCAGCTGACAACCTAAAAATGATTTTTTCCTTCTATACATGTGTTCTTCCCCTATTCATTGCATATTTAAACCTTTAGAGTTCTTTCATTTAGATTATGTTAAAGAAATTCTAGCCATGAAATCAGTTGTTAAAACTGAGAAGCCGACATATAATACAAGGGATGTAATTCTATTCAGATGTTCCGATGATGTCATTTAGCATCAGCAGACTAGTGCGGAAGTATTTTGTCACCAAAATCCCAAGGGAATTTCCATTTATTAGCTGGTTACATACATATTTTTAACAATTTGCATCTCTAATGAATGTTTGAAAACTTGTCTGATTTAAAGTCAAACATTCACATTAGTAAAAAGAAAAGGAGTACTTGTGGCACCTTAAAGACTAACCAATTTATTTGAGCATGAGCTGTAGCTCACGAAAGCTCATGCTCAAATAAATTGGTTAGTCTCTAAGGTGCCACAAGTACTCCTTTTCTTTTTGCGAATACAGACTAACACGGCTGTTACTCTGAAACCTGTCATTCACATTAGTATTAATAATAAAATATATCATACTGAAACTGATTTAATATATAATGTCAGATGTATAATAATAATACATATAATGCCCATTTAAAAGTTCTCAGAAACCAAGTATTTGGATATATTAGACTGGGATTTTCATAAGAGCGTAACTCCATCAGATCTGAGAATCTATTTCCTTTAGGCTCCTTTGAAAATCCCAGCCTTAATGCATAGATGCAATAAACTCACAAGAAAGTTAAGCCTGTGGGTGACTTACAGAAGCAGAATCCTGCAGGTCTTTCTGAAGTACCTCAATTCTGATTGTTTGCTGTTTGGTTGTAGCTTCCAATCTGGCATTTTCAATTTCTAGTCTTAAAAGCAAATATACTTTTTAATATGTAACAATATAATTTTTCTGGACAAGTCTCTAAATCCACAATAGCACAAAACTTGAAATAGTTTTGAAATAATCATTTACATATGAATTTCATAATCTAAAACTCATTTTAAAATTGTATCTAGTATTTAATTCTGTAATATTTAATTGTGTATTAGCAAAAGTCCTTTTATTTCTGGCCATATTTTAACAATAAAACCTGGTTTCAACATATTGGCAATTTTCTTACCTTTGTATATGTTCTTCCAGTTGTTTTATAGCATTATTTGTTCCAGATGATGCTATTAGAAGGTCTTGCAATTTCTGGGAAGAAGCATTCACTTCTCGTTCCTTACTATCTAATGCATTCTTCAAATCATGAACACGTCGTTCAGACTGAATATATTGATCTTCCGATTCTTGCAGCTGTAAACAAATCAAATTTAAGGTAACTGACGTTTGAAGTGCAAGTATTTAAATCATTATTGAATTTCAGATGAAAATTCAACTTCCTGTACATACACATTTGTTTTAAATAAATCCCTAGTCCATTTCCTTTCCTTTCCGTCCAGATGTATGAAAGCCTTGTCCATGCCTTATCTTCTTCCTCAATTACTGCAATACCCTCCATACTGGCCTCACTAGTCCCATATTGCTCCTCTCCAATTTGTCCAAAACAGAGCTGCAAAAATGATTTCTCCTCATCTTATAAGACCACATCACTCTTTGAATGTCTTCACTTGCTCCTCCTTGCCCACTATATCTTGTTTAAAATTTGGCTCCAGCAAGTATAAGCCAGCCCCAGCTACCCCATTAAAATGGGGTTGTGATCCACTTTGGGGTCCTGACCCACAGTTTGAGAACCGCTGAACTAGATAATATGTTAAGTAAAAGATATATACATGCATCGCTTTGTCCAAGTGAGTTAGTGAGCTTAGTTACTCTAAGACAAATTGTTATCAGGTATGTACCACAGTTATAAAAGAATGTAAATTACTTAAATGTCACTGTGTTTTAGATGCCTAGAAATAATGTTAAGTCAATAAGTGTTTAAAGTGCTGAGACGACGAAAACTACTCATTGTACTACTCTAAACATAAATTGTATGTAGGTGCTGAAAAAGAGATAATGAATACAGCAACTGGAGCGTATACATTTTTCAGAACACATGGTTTGTGATGTCACAAAATGGACAGCTCCTTAGATAATAGAGAAAAGTGTGAATTGAAGAGTTTATTGTTTCTAATGTAAGAGGTAAACCATTATTAAAGTTACAAGTTACCCGTAGTTATATGTACTGGTGAATAACAATAAAATGAGAAGTGGCTTTGAATCATCAAGTGCACACTTGATGTTAGTAGGTGTGTGTGTGTGTGGAAAAAGAATAGGTTTAATTGGGTTCTAGTTTATAACATGAGTTTTGCTTCTCTAAGCATTCAAGAATAGGTTTAGCTTAGAATTATGTGGTAAGATGATTTTAAATTGAATTGACATTTCAGTAGTTAAAGCAATTTAAATTTCTAACTTTAGAATTTTTTTGATTGAACTGTTTTGATAATTGTACAGTATTTGATTTGTATAAAGCTTGTCTGGCAATTTGGCAAAAGACTTGTATTAAGTTTCCATAGTGATACCAAATTATTTCCACAAAATAATACACAAAAAGTTTTATCACTGAGTGATAAAATTTTGTACCTTTCAGTTACTGTGATTTGATGTATTACTTCAACAAGTGTAGCATCCTATGTCAAAGCAATTCACTTAAACCTTGTAAACACTATCCTATAAATATTTTTAGTTTGCTTTCTGTAAACTTATTTTTTTTAAATTCTATTCTGATAACACAAAGTCTTCAGATATGTCAAATGCAGACAATAAAGTTTTCAGGCTCTATGGCAAAACTCCTCATTTGAATAGTTAATCACATTCCCCCGTCTCCTGGGGGAAGGCTGCTAATCAGAGTTACAACATGTGCCTGAGGAATAGCCTACTTCCTCCAAAAAGGGCAACTGCAACCACCACTGGTCCTATCCTCCTCGCCTGCAAAGAAGTCTTTGGAATTGGCTGGAGAGAAGCTCGATTTTAGTACCAATACACAACTCTTTCTGGCTTCCAGCTCTACGTACACTTCCAAGACTAGAAGGGTGACAAAAAGGATTGAAACTACACTTCCAATCCTGCCCCATTCCGCACCACCACAGCCTGAGGCAGAAGCACAGAGTAAAGGAGTTTCTGATCCTGCTCCCTGCCTCAGTCCTCAGAAGAGGGGGTGAAGAGTTAAGTGTTTTCCTAAAAATAAAGAGGGTGGAGAGAAAATAAAATGCTTGGGATGGCAGAGAGGATGAAATGCTTTGTAGGAGGGGGCTGAAAATTGAATTGTTAGAGGAAAAATGGAGAAAGAAGAGAGGATTGATAAATTCTAGGAGCGGGGAGGACAGAATCAGTTATTTGCAGGTATTCTGAACTGATCAGTTGGAGAACTGTTGCTGCTCCAAAATTCAGTGAATTAATCAGAAATTAATGCATGTTTAATTGATTAGTTAAAATTATTTATCTTGTGTTTTGCACTGTATCTGTCCTAATACTCTCACATTAAATGCCCTACTCTAGTCTTTCTAGTGCACGTGCACAGATCTTCTTGCTGCTGCCAATAAAATATGTTGTCCCAATTCTGCTTAAAATGGAGATTAGACTTTCTGCAATGTTTAGAAGAAAAATATAGTAATGAGAAACAACTATTTTTACCTATAGTTAATGAGGGCTGACATCATGCAGAACATTTTTCTTGAATGCTTAGAGAAGCAAAACTCATGTTATAAACTAGAACCCAATTAAACTATTCAATTAATTTACACTTAAAGAAAAAAATGAAAATTTTAAAAGGCCAATTTTGCGTTTCCTCACCCTGCTTCAAGACTTTAGCGTGACCATAATAGTTAAAGTAAAGCTACTATTAGACGACAAAGGACTCCCTCCCTTCATAACATTGAAGTCAAAGGAAAGTGTACAAGTTTAACCACAAGGTGACTGTTGTGACAAAACATCAGTAAAACACTAGCAACAGAAATTACCTTCTGATTTTATCTGACAAAATAAGACACTAGATATACTTGTATTTGAAATGTCATACTATCATAATCTTTAAAATAGACTCCTATTAGAAAGATTCCATTTAGTTTTATGAATTGTGACATTTTGTAATATCTTGCCATTTATAACAAAGTAAATGAAATTAATTCATGAATACAACTGTATTTGATATTATTCTCAAAATAAGCAGAACATGTTATGTTTTTCACTATTTGTAAAATCAATGAACCAACTACGGATTTACTACTATATGAATAGTAATGTATACTATATTGTATACCTTGGTTTTAATCTTGTCTATTTCCTTTTGCAAATGTAGTTTGTCCTCTTCCAGGTCATTGCGATAACGTGTTGTAACTTCAAGTGAAGCTTCTGACATTGATTGCTTTTTAAGAGCATCAGCAAGTTCTTGTTGCAGTTGTCTTACTGTACCCTAATGAAATATTTTCAAGTTAGTATTAATAAAGCTTACAAAAATTAGTATGAAGAGTCCAGATTAGGATCTAAAATATATTTTTTGATTTGTCAGGTTATATATGTCAACTAATACATTCAGAAGGGCATAAAATGGTAAACAATCATGACTGCCAGTGATGCGCCTAAATAGCTGTAGGCTCCCTCCCACCTGACCACTGTTAATCAAAGCCAGTTGGACAGCTGGTGCCAATGAATGAGGATTGCTATTTCTAGAGAGGTTAAATGTTTTAGACTGTTTAGGATGTGTGTTATCTTCTGCTCACGGTCATTAAAAAGAAAGGGTCTTGGTCATTCCAGTGATGTAGGAAAGGCCTTTTACAGAGAGTTTTCATTGTTAAGTCTGGTTTTGTTTTATTTTTTTAAGATATACCAGAATACAGATTTAACCATTTAGGCATAAAAGCCACAATTTGATTGAGTGTATAGTTGGGACATTTAGCATTTAAGAATTTAGTCATTAGCTAGGCCTTCAACATCTTAACATATCTGACCTTCTCAGAGTTTCTGGAATCATAATACATAAAGGTAAATGCAATTGCAGAGTATCAATAATTTCCCAGCAACACTAAACTTAAGGCAGAGATCTACCAAAGAATGAGATCTACCGAAGAATTGCTGACATTCAGGGTTTATTTCCAAAAAGAAAAGAGACAGGAGAAAATGTCTGAAAGAACACTGCCAACTTAAAAATCATAACTCTGTCTGAAAATTTTGTTTCTGATCTTCTTACAAGTAGCACATAAAAAGACAACAACAGAAAGAGATTACAGGAAAAAAATAGTTCCCCCCAAGCTTGTTTGTTTACTTTGGGTGTAGTTCAACCCATTGCGGTTGGCTAGCACATGGCCTCTGCATCACTCAAATTTCAATTCTGAGGGCTTAAATGAGATCTCAGAGGTACATAGACTTGTGCTGGCCCCTACAAATAGGTGATTTTCACTCTTGTGCGTTTTCAAGCACTTTAGCTATAGTTCATTTTAGCTGTTTTCCTGTTCAGTCACTCACTCCCTTTCCATTTTTTTGTGTGGTCTCTCATACAGCATCAGAGGAGCAAAAACATGCTTAAATCTCACTGAAAAGCCTAAGTAGGGGAAGCTTGGAGCTATTGTAGTACCTGAAACTAACTCATTTTTGAAGGTGGTGACTAGATTTCAAATTGCCAGCATATCCTCTTCTCCACTCATCTGTCTCTTACCAATTGTCCACCCTTCCGAATTGATTCTTCAATTGATTTCCACCTATGCCCAAATCTAATTTACTCTCTCTTATGTTCAGCCTCCCTTTCTTAATCTGTTGCTTTTCTTAGTTTTCTCCAGTATTCTTCTTTGTCCTTGTCAAGGCTGATTCCCCACTCTGGCACTTCGAGTACAGAAAGTGGGGGCCCACAAGGACTCTAAAAATTAATACTTGCCACTCTAGGCTTGTATTAAACTCCCAAGGTTACAGCTTTTCTCTGACCTTGGATAGGTAGTTGCTGCTACCACCCAAGTGCAGAACCCCTTTGAGATCCCAGGAAGGCACATTTGGGAATTTCTTCCTGTGGGGTACCCTCAAGCCCTTACACCCCACCCCCTTCTGGGGAAGAGCTGAGAAAGAAAAACAACATGTGCATAACCTCTTAGGACACAAAAATCCAATTCTGTTCTTAAAAAAGGTAAATTTTATTAATAAAAAAAGAAAAGAAAATACATCTTGGAACTTAGGCTTTTGCTAGATTTAAAACAAACAAACAACTACAAGGATTAAGTATCAATAATAGGTTTCCTGAGGTCTAGCTTAAAGGTCAGAAGCAAAACAAAAGCATCTGGGGCTAGCACAGAGGAGTCCACAAGCCATAAAGAAATAAAGAGATAAACCTAATCGCGTCTTCCTAGAAATTTCCTGATCTACTTACATATTTGGGGTTTTAGATGAGTAGTTTCTAGGTATGATATTGATGATTTTTCATACCTGGCCCAAGCTTCTCACAGCATAACTGACTCTCCCCAAGAACAACAGACAAACAGACAAAAAGGGAGTCTTGTTTCAATTTTAAAAAGTTCTAGCCTTCCCACATTGGCTCTTTTGGCCAGGTGCCCACTCACTTCCTTTTACCTATGCATAGCAGTGAGACTTTTTAACCCTTTAGAAGTAGAGCACTTAGAGAACAGCTACTAAGAGCAATTTTATAGCTACTGGCTGGCTGGGTGTCCATAAAATGGAGCTATCCCTTCATTTATCACAGTCCTATTGCCTCACTTATTTCCTACTTCCTCTCTTCTAATCTTTTGCCTCTGTGGCTTTCCTTTGTTCCATGGCACTCCAGTCTAATGCCACCTGGAATTTCTTGAACTGTTTGGAAAGTTTTACTTTCCATTCCATGATGCACAAATACTACTAGGTAAAAACTGAAAGGAGATCACACTTGTAGACAAAGTAGTTTATCCTTGAATAGTCTGAATTCGAAAGTCATTGCTCAAATCTTCCGAGCAGAATACATAGGTGAGGAAAAGCAGAGATGGATTTATTTGCCGCAAGCTATTACTATTCCGAGTACGAAACAGATAAGTGCATTCCCCTGTAAGTAAATTACACAATTATTTTTTCCAACTGGTGTATTTCAAAATTTTACAAGGATAAATTTTAAACTTTGTTATGGGACCTTCAGTGAATAAATGATAAAACTCAAATCACTGTTTGAAGTTTTTATACTTACCTCTCTTTCTACTTTCTCTGTTTCATATTTAAAGACTTGCTCCCTTAAATTATTACATTTTGTGATTAGTTCCTTATTTCTCTCTTCCATCATATGAATTTGCTTTTCAGTATCAGCTCTAAGTTTACTGAATATATCACTAAATCTGTCTTGGACATCACTCACTACTTTTTCTTTGATGATCCCCTTGTTTTGCATATCTTCCAATTGCTGCCGGAGTAAGACGTTTTCACTTTGAAGCTGTGCCAATCGTTCTTGCATAGATTCCTGTTTTACAATATATTTGCTCATTTGATCCTTCTCAGTTTGTCGAGCATAATCAAGTTCCTTTGCCTGACATTGTGCATAACTTAGATCTCTTTGAGTACTTTCTAAAAGCAAAGTTTTTTCTCTAAATGTGTGTGTTACATGATGAAGTTCATTTTCTAGACTGTTAGCTTTAGTTTCGACTTTAGTAAGCTGTTGAGACAAGATATTATTGGTGTCTCGCAGATTGGACAGGTCGTGATTGAGCTTGTCTTGCAAACGAAGCCATTCATCACGCTCTCTTTGTAGTGTTCGCTCAACATCAGTTTTTGATTTCCGACAGCATTCAAGTTCTTGAACAGCAGAGTTCAAACGGGAACGGAATGATTCCATCTCTGTCTCCAGTCTATCTTTATTTTCTTTTGCATGCTCTATTTTGGAAGTTAACATTGCAGATTCTGTCTTTAATACATTCAGCTGTCCATTGTACTGAAAAACTGTTTGTGTCAAAGCCTCCTCATTTAGTTTTAGCTCCTTCCTAAGATCTTCATTTTTTTCTTTCAAGACCTCATTTTCTTCTAAATATTTGGTTTCTTCCTCCTGGTGCCGAATTCTTATTTGATCAAGCTCTAGTCTTAGTATAGCAATTTCATCTTGCAGTTTCTGATTTTTGTGTAAAAGATCCTTTTCTCTCAGATTATCAGGTACCTGAGTAATTGAGAACATATAAACATAGAGGTGAGAGGGGGGAAGGAAGGGAGAAGAGTTACATTTAAAAAAAATGATAACAAACATGCATTTTGATGTTTTCTAATAATCAAGCTTGACTTACTTAAAATAGCTTTATAAACTACAATCTAATTGGCTGAAAAGGCTCTGAACACGTTATCTTTTAGTGAATGAACTCACTGGAACTATAAGATACTATTCAGTAACCAAATCAGTAAGCCACATTTAAGTTTCTTTTTTACATCAATAATATAAACAAAGCCTTTAAATATTTTAAATCTAAATCCTTTCAAATACATTACCATACATGTACACTTTAGTACAGGCACCAAACTATAGGCCCTACACTAAAGAAGGATGTGGAAAAATTGGAAAGAATCCAGTGGAGGGCAACAAAAATGATTAGGGGACTGGAACACATGATTTATGAAGAGAGACTGAGGGAACTGGGATTGTTTAGTCTGCGGAAGAGAAGAATGAAGTGGGATTTGATAGCTGCTTTCAACTATCTGAAAGGGGGTTCCAAAGAGAATGGATCTACACTGTTCTCAGTGGTAGCAGATGACAGAATGAGGAGTAATGGTCTCAAGTTGCGGTGGGGGAGGTTTATGTTGGATATCAGGAAAAACTTTTTCACTAGGAGGGTGGTGAAGCACTGGAATGCATTACCTAGGGAGGTGGTGGAATCTCCTTCCTTTGAACTTTTTAAGGTCAGGCTTGACAAAGCTCTGGCTGGGATGATTTAGTTGGGGATTGGTCCTGCTTTGAGCAGGGGGCTGGACTAGATGACCTCCTGAGGTCCCTTCCAACTCTGATATTCTATGATATGGGGGTGTTTTTATATTCCTTTAAAAATATGGTTTAGGCTTGTTATCCCATTTGCAGAATCAGCAACAGAACCTAGCTCTCCTGATTCATTGTGTTTTAACTTCCCTATTTATTATCTCCTTCTCTGACTTCTATTTGAATATATATCCTACATATTTTAACTTTATGTATTATCTTGGCATTAAAGTGTGTTTTTTTTCCCCACGTATCCTTCATTTTCTTTCCCTCTCTCTTTTTTCCCATATTGCTGAAGCTTAGGTATGTAGTCTTCCAATCATCCAAACAGCATAATGTACTCAGATAATAATCAAATAGGAGATGCATATGTAATCTCTTTTGCTCTGGAGACGGATAATTCATCCACTGTACCAAGAATTTTGGGTAGTGTGGTGAGGAAGAAGTACGACCAAAAGTTGGAGTGTTCCTGTCAAACAGCTTCTCACTGTGTCAGCTTCAGGCATGTTAAATGTAATCACATTACTTTGAAGATGAAGTTACACTCTCAAAAGTGACTGTAAAAATGGGGTTCTTGGAGTCCACGTTTGTCTCAAATTTGCTCAATTTACAAATAAACAGCTATTTTTAATAGATGTGTTCTTTCTGCTTTGTCCATCACTGCTAGTAGTAAGGAACTCAAATGGGAACTTTGTTATCTAGTATATCATAGTATTTGAGCCAGAAAAGGATCCAGATCAATCTCCTGCAGCTTCACTGGCTCTGCACTGCTCGCAGGAGTTAAAAGTAATTAAAAAAACAACAGAAAACATTTGAGAATATTGTCAGAAAAATAAGCAGATGACTGAAGTTGAGAAAAGTGTCATTTTTACTTTACAAATTTTCTAAGAGTATTTGGTGGATACTGCCATCCACAACATACCAATTTTAAATCTGGAAGTGAAACAAACAAAGATAGGAATGTTTACAAAACTATATTATTTTCAATATTGTAAATATTCTGGCAAAGGGTGGCATGTTAAGTAATGCAATTACAAAACATCCTTTGTTTACACTTAATAATGAACACTGTGTAATTTTTCCTTGAACTGGACAGAACACTGCTTACTTCTGAACTTTTAGCTGCAGTTATTTTAGTTTCTTCTTCTATTTCTTTCTGTCTCCAAAGATGGTTGTTCAAAATACCCTCTTGTAGAGCTCTGGCACTCTGCTCTTGAGAGAGCTGTCTCTGGGTTTCATTACGTTCTTCTTCAACCTAACACAAACACATTTTAAATATTTTAATATTAGAAAAATATACTAGATATAGTAATCATTGTCCTTTTCATCATGGCTTCTTCACCCATACATGAAGAGGTTCTGCACATTTGCCTAAAGAACACCTCTTTAAGATATGTCTGCTTCCTTAGGATGTATATAGGATGGAAGCCATTTTATTCTGACCCATATTAGTTCCACATACATTTGCACGAAATCTGTAGAAGTTGAAACTGTTCAGACTAATCTAGTATTTATTCCTACTGAAAGCAAGTCTAATCTAAATGGTAGTTGGTACCAATGAAAACAATTTGGATCTTGTATGTGTAAAAATAGGATGTGTTCTACAAGTGTGGTAGAAGGACCATGCTATTCTTAACATAGTAAGTTTCTCTAGAGAAGACAAGGCCTAAAAGTCACAATGAGGAATTGCTATCATGTTTTGAGGATAAGTTTGTATGCAGGCTGAACTTAAGAATGTTCAATGATAAAGCAGCCTTAATGTTAAATACATTTCAACAATGAAGGTTATAAGTAGGTCAAGGTTAGTGAAAAGATCCATGAGATCATGTGCAGACAGCTGAATGGTACACACTGCATAAACATGACTATTTAAATAGCTTAATCATCGGATTTGAGATACCCAATCCTTTACGATAGAAATCATGATCCTTATTTTATAGTCAGTGCCTCACTGAGTATCAACTACCTACATAAGCCCAATAAAAACTATCTGTTAGAAATAGAGACCATGAATTCATAGCTTTACGATGTTTTGCTTTTTTTAAAAAAAAGCAGTCAACATTAAGTGAAGACTGACACTAAAATGCAAGTCAGAAACACACAAAAATTCTGTGTGTGTTTTCTGAAAATACGAGAAAAAAAATAAATCAAATGATCTTTTCAACTTAAAGTGATATTCTCAATATTCTTTGTCACAGACTTCTTAAGCTGAACTCATTGGAGAATTTTAGACTATTTCTGAAGCTGTACCAAAAAAACAGTCCTCTCTGATGAGCAGGTTACTTTTCATGGAAAACTAATTTGGTACTGAAAATGTACGGAATCTTCAATTCAACAATTTGATCACCTAGTATCACCTAATATCAAATATGGGTAAATGAATTTTCCAGTGTTTGGTATTGAATAAACAATCATTTTGCAAGAATGGACACCCTGCTTCCATTTTAAAAGTTTAAATAACTAGAGCCCTGCAGAGATACAAAATTTGAGTCCACATCCATCCATGATCCGCAGACATGGTCTGCGGATATAAAGCAGATATCTGGAGATTTGCGGGGCTCTATAAATAACACACACAGTTCTCACAGCTAGGATGTTACCAAGGGACACAAAGTTCTTACCATTTTTCGAACCATATTCACAAGGCCTTGTATTTCCTGAGGTGTTTTCCTCTTGAACCCCGGGTCTAATGTAGTTGAAGGAAAATTAATCCCTTTAAGAGCGTTCTCTCTCACCGGAGGAATAGAAAATGATAGAAGAGGGGAAGGAAATCTGCTTTCAAGTCTGCTGGGAACATGTGCTCTACACAAAGGAGTAGAGGCAACAGAGCCTCTAAGAGGAGGACTAGAGAAAGAAGAGATGGGCTCCTGATGAGGCTGAATAACTTTCTTCATTCTACTAATTCTAGATCTGCCAGACCATTTGCTACAATCCACACAGACAGAAGTCAAAAGAAAATTTCCTAGCACGCTACACTCTGAAAATATCCACTTTCGAGCAACACAATTGCAGTCTGCACAAATATTTCTTAAATCCACATTTTTTTCAGCTTGTTAAAGATCTTCTATTCCAAATTCCCGGACAAAATACTAAGCTGGAGATAACAGGATTCCAGGATTTATAAAAGAAAATACAAGGCCCGGGGAACTTGGCAGAGTGTCCTGGAGTGAGACAAAAACCTTCCTTAATTTCTTGATCTTTGTTCATAAGTTCTACCTCTCATACTGACAGTATGAGAGCGATGAAAAATAGGCAGGTATTTTATCTATTCTTAAAATTGAACTCAGACAGGCAAATATGGCAAATTTAAAATAAAATCAGTAAACTAACAATGTTCCTCTACTTAATTTTACCAATTTGTAATCAATTTATTATGGAAAAATAAAAATAACGATACATCCATATCTGCATCCATCTCTCTTGCTGTGTTCATCTGACATCACAAAACACTAGAGCTTTGCTTTCACAGCTAATTATGATGTCACTAAAATTTTCTCCACACCTGCCTATCTTTATTACTCAATTTCTTGTTTGTTCTCAATCATAAGGTTACAAAGGAACAAGATACACATTTGTCATTCCTCTAAATTCAATGAAGCAGGGTGAAATGACAAATATTTTTTGTCAAGAACCTAAAAAGAACAATTATCAGACATTTATCTTCTTCACTTTAGAGAGTCCATAAGAAGATGAAGAAGTTCTTTGAGTTTACCACCCTGGCATATCCACATTTTTGAACATGGCTTAGTGCCACAAGCTCAATAGCATCTGGAAAGCAGTGACCATTAGGGGTCTGAATAAGCCTCCCCACAGATCAGGATTGTTGTTGTCAGATAACAGAAACTGAGGGTTGCTGGGACTACAATCCCTTTTATGCCTATATTCAACAAACAATATGATCAGTCTGAGAAAAATAAAAAACAACATGGGGTATATCTGTAGAAGCAGCATATTCTGAGATTGCTGGAATCTGCAGAGCCAGCTCTTGAAAGACAATTATAGTTTCATGAGCATGTATGTAGAGAATTATATACTGCCATTGTATGTTTGACAATTTTTTAAAACCCATTTTTAAAAACATATTAGAACAACACATCTGAATTAAAACAAATTGGAAAAAAATATACAAGAAAATTGTGTTGAATTACATATTTTAAGATTTAATAAATAATAACCTGTTTCAAGTGATTTCTCAATGTTCTCAACTCCATTTCTAGACTCCTTTGGGTTAGCTCAAGCTGTTGTTTCTCCTCCATCTCTTTACAGTACTGATCTTCTTTCTTTCTAAGAAGTTCTCTGTTTTTGTCATACAGCATTTCTATACTCAATCTCTTTTCTTCTTCTTGTTTCAAAGTAAACCTGGTATTTAACACAACATTATTTTAAAACCAAACCCCTGGAACATGCTTGCACCCATCATGATTTTCAACTGTTGATATTTCAGCCCACTTAAAAAATTGGTAAAGAGAAATTTTCCACAGTATGTAGCCTGAAGACCAAACAAACAGAAGAAGCACATTTTTAAAATCCCTACCACCTTCAATTCTTATCGTGTGGCTCTGAAACGGACTTTTAAAGCAAATTGTAACCTCATTCAGAGGTGCCAGCTGTACAAAAGTTTTGATGAAGATACATAACACACAAACTCACTAAAACAACACAATATTTGGTTATAAAGTTATAAAAGGCAAAGTTGTAAAACACATTTCCTTACATAATGAACACAATGCCTTACTTAAAATTAAATACATACTTTGATTATCTTCAATGCCATAAGGGCCAAATCCTATATCTTATCCCAAACCATGGAAGTGGGAAAGGAAGGGCTTCTCCCTGCCCCCTTCCAAAAAGGTACTATCCAAAATGTTGAGTCATTCTACAGTAATATGGAACAAAGCATATTAAAACAGAGCAATTAACATAGAAATAAAACATATGGCCAGATTCTCAAGCTAGTGTAAATCAGTGGTGCTATGACAATTTACTATAGTTGAAGATATGGGCCAATGAATCTAAATAAGGTAAAACTTGGCAGCTACTTTAAACTAAATATCTTTACTCTGAACCTGTAATATTCACTAGTAATTCCAAATAATAAGTATAGGTAATACTACCAGTAAAGTAAGTGTCTAAGGCAAAACTGGCAAGATTTTAAACATGGCTTTTGTACAAATAAACTGACTGAACACCTTGTAGTAATTAAGCAGAATGTTTTCTCCTCTGCAAGGGTTTTTTTCCATAATGGAGTGTACTTAAAGAATGAAGCCAATAATCTAAAATAAGTTTAGAAAAGTCTTGCTAGTTAATCAGCATAAGCTTCAAGCTTAATGTGATAAAAACAACAAGCATTTTTTTAAATGCATGAAACTGAACCTTAAGGTATAACATCGATTTAATTTTTAGGTTAACAGAGAATGAAGGCCTTAAGGAGAGTTTAGCAATTTTATTTTTTTCTTTTCTGATAATTGAATCCAATTATCTATAAGTGTAGAGACAGTGAACAATGAAAAACACAATGCATGGTATGTTTCCTTGTTCCCATGACATGAATAATAAAGCATTTGAGTATTGGGTGACCTTTTAGATATTTTAACCAATATCACAGATCATATAGACAACAAGGAAAATCTGATTGTATACGAGGAAATGGCTGGTTTAAAATCCTGCTAAACATTTTCCAAGTATTTGTAACTACTAATATACGAGTGATTCATATTTCAGAGTCTGAACTCCAAACTTTACGAATAGTAAGGAAGACAAAGTGTCCCATTATGAAAAACACTGACATGTAACATATGAATCTGAACTTCAAAGATAAAGGGTTCAATGCCATACTTACTGTAACTCTGCAAGATTACAGCTGCTCATGAGTGCAGAGCTGATATTCATTTAGTTGTAATTTTATTTAAAAAAAAACAACATTCAAATATTTGTTATGAAAATAAACAGCGTGTAAGGATTTGGTAAATAGAAAAGAAAAACAAAAGTATGCCAAATTTGGGATCAAACTGAAGTGTCCTTTTAAATACTAATACTTATTTGTTACACAAAAATCAACTTCTAAAAATAGTCTATTAATGTAAACAGTAACAAAACAAAATTACTACCCCCCCCAAAAAAAAACAAAAACAAAAAACACCATACTATTGAGATGTATAGTCAAGAGATACTGCTCAGGTGGAAGCCCAAAGTTTGATCTTCCTTAATGGTGGGGTCCATCTAAAAAAGGAGTATCTGCCCTCTGTCTCAAAACTTACTTGTTTCCATCAGCCTTTCAGCACTGAACCCAACCCTGGCCTTCATTCTAGACATTACCCACAGTTCCTAATACCATATATTAAACTAAAAAGTTGCAAAGATCACTAACATTAACATTAAGAACAACTCATGAGCTTTCATCATTATAAATGAAGGTTACTTTCTTGTAACCGGAGTTCTTTGAGATGGCTCTGCACATTCCCACTTAAGGTATTGAGCCACCTAGAGGTGCTTAATGGTAGAACCTTTGCCAAATGGCATCTGTTAGAGTGCTCATGTGCCCCTCAGCATCTCCAAATGGTCTGAGAGTGAGGCTATATAAGGTGCACAGAGTCCTCTATCAACTCAGTTCCTTTCACCACCGACACAGAGAAAAGAACAAAACAACTGTGAGAAAGAGGGTGAGAAGTGTAAATATATAGATTTCAGGTTAGCAGCCGTGTTACTCTGTATTCGCAAAAAGAAAAGGAGTACTTGTGGCACCTTAGAGACTAACAAATTTATTTGAGCATAAGCTTTCGTGAGCTACAGCTCACCTCATCAGATGCCTCCGATGAAGTGAGCTGTAGCTCACGAAAGCTTATGCTCAAATAAATTTGAATATATAGAGCCATTTTGAAGCACTCTGGTTACAAGTAAGTAACCTTCATTTCTTCTTTGAGTGGCTGTGGATATTCCAATTTATGAATAATTTGTTAAGCAGTGCTGAAAATAACATGAAGCCGGGAAACGTAGTCCTAATTGAATAGAGAATGAAGCACTGTTCTATTAAATCTAGCATCATTCCCTGAAGCCAAATATAGAGCATAATGTTTTGTAAAGTGTGCATAGAACTCCAGGTTGCAGTCCTGCAAATCTCAGCAAAAGGGAATTATTTAAGATAAGCAAAAAACACTGCCACAGATCTACTGGAATGAGATCACAGGTACAGGAGTTTTTGCTAATGTGTAACATTCAGCAATACATTGGTTAGTCCATCTAGAAATAGTCTGGTGAGACACAGTATGACCCATGTGATTTTTACCACAAGGAATGAACAATCTAAATGGTTTTTGAAAACTTTTAGTTCTATCTAAATAATATTCAAGAACTCTTCTTGCATCTAACGTATTTAAAACAGATTTCCCCTTATTTGTACGCAGTCTTGGAAGAAATAGCAGCACAGTAATTGTCTGATTGGTGTGAAATTCAGAAAACTACTTTTAGCAAAAACCTAGGATCACGTCTAAGAAACACTTTGTCTTTATGAAAAGACATAAATGGTAAATCAGCCATCAAGGCATTTAATTCACTTACCCTTCTGGCTGACATTATGGAAATAATGAATGCCATCTTTAGAGACAGATGATACAAAAATCACTCAGCCAAGGGTTCAGAGTGTAGATAAAACCAAATTAAGATCCCAAGGAGGGACAGGATACCTCAAAGTGGGATACATTTTAGATAATTCCTTCTTAACTTTTTAACCATATTATGCACAAACAGTGATCTCAAAAGGTAAGCTGAGATAGCTGCCAACTGAACTTTTAAATATAACCCCTTAGTCTTTAAGTACATTAAATATTCTGAAATACAAGGAACAGAAGCTGAAACAAGGGAATCAGATTTTCACCACATGAAATAGCAGCCTTCAACAGCCAATCATCCCAATATGGGTAAACAAAAATACCTTGCTTTCTCAAATGAGCCTAGAGACACTTTGTACATATACTCCTGGTGTTGTGGACAGGTCAAATGGGACCACCTTGTACTGAAAATGCTGTCCCGCTGCCATGAAACAGATACTTTCTATGACTGTGTCTGATAGAAATATGAAAGTATGCATCTTTTAAATCTAGACTTGCAAACCAATCCATAGTTGAAAGTGAAGGGATTATGGAGGCCAGAGTTAACATACAGAAGAACCAAACTCACAAATATATTTCGTCAGGTTTACTGAAAAGACCATCCCATTCGAAGGGGAGATCTTCCATCTTAATTCCAGTATCCAGAACCAGAGAAGAGGACGAAAGCCAGGAGAGAGTACTTTGACACATTCTGATCTTCCATTAGGATTGCATTTGCCAATCTCCTTTTGTCATCTGACAAACCCTTCACAAACAATGCCATCTTTTCCAGCAGGTGGAATTAATAGCTGGTCATAACTGCTTGATAATTTGCCATCCTACTACCAAGAGAGGAAGAGAACAACACCTTTCTCCGTAGAGACTCTATCATTAGGAGTGGAATATGCTTGTCCAGACCTCAACCTGCTACTAACAGCAGCCACCACCAGTGATTTAGGTATAGGATGTGTGTTAAAATATGAAAATCTTTCTAAGGGTATCTGATATAATTTGTCTGCCTTCTTGTAAACAGGCTGGCAAGAGGCAGGAATGGACCAAATAGTCTTAGCCAGCTGCAGCAGACAATGAAGAACTGGCAATGACATGCCACTTTTGGAGATAGGCACAAAAATGTTGAACACTGGATGGAATGTTTCCTCCACAGCTACTGAAGGTAACGTCAAAGTGGATGCCATGCGATCCACCAGGCCATGAACTGCAGAGTCCTCAGAAAGGGAAGTGGCGCAAGCTATTCCCACAAACTCATCTGGTGATAAATCAGGATCATAGTCTGTGTCAGCATGCTCATGTTCAAAAAGAGGAGCTATTTCCTCATCTTCTTCAGACAGAATTTCAGGTACCACTGTCTGTGATGCAGACAGATCCGGTGGAACCAGATCTGAGGATTTCTCCACCACCAAATTCTTTACAAAGGAAACATCATCTCTCCATTCATAAAGAAGATAACTGAAAAATTTCTGCAGCCTCACCCAATAAGGCCCTGGAGCCCAGGACTGTCGTTTCTCCAGCAACTGGGTTCCAAGAATATACTTGTAAGAGGAGGAGCCAGGAAGAAACAAGTCTCTTTATTCTTCCTCTATCCTCCTGTAAACACAGATTTGGCCTCAGATACAGAACGGAGTGCACCAGAGACAGCAACAGACCTGGAGGATGGAGAGAAAACTGTTTGTGGAGATTCTGTAAGAATCTTAGGAGGAGGAGGTATAGGTGAATCAGGAGAAAGACCAACAATCTCCTCTGTTCTTCCCTTTTTTTTTAAGTGAAGACAATGCAGACCTTGGAATCGACGAAGCCTGTCTCTTCTTGAAGACTCTCACATCTAGATCTGAGGAACGCTTGGAAGTTGAATGGTATACATCAGCCACAAAAGTAAAAGTCTTCTTTGGATCCGAAGATGGACTTGGAACCAGAGCAGATGTCAAAGCCAGAGCTGAAGATCTGAGCAGCACAGGATCCAGTGAAACACTCAGGTCTACTCCATTGGTCCTTGAAGCTGAAGCTAGAACTGGCCTGGGTTTCAGAGCCGTAGCCATAGAGGCCCTGTCAGAATCAGATGGATCCGATAAAAATGACACAAGAGATCTGTCACTGCTAACTGTGCTTGTCTTCACCCTTGCTTTCTTCCTTACAACTGACACAGCCGGAACAGAGTTCCTGGAGCCCTTAAGGTTCTTCAGTTTGCTGGAGGAAGTCATGGAAGCCAAGACTGGCCTCTTAGACCTTGGATCCAACAAGATTTTGCAACTGGATGGTTTGGCCTCAGGAGGCTCCTTAAGGAGAAGCAGTTGTAATCTGTTGTGCCTCTCATCGTGCACTCTGGGCATGAAGTTCAGCAGATGGAACACCCAGAAGGAAAAAAGTTGTCTCACAAGCATTTCAGGCACCGAATGTGGTCATCTGATGCTGGGAAGACAGCTGGGCTTGAAACCCAGCTTCTTTCTCTTCGGTTCCACCACAATCCAGAACTGAAATATTAACTAACTATACTTCTATATGGAGGGGTGGGGGGGACACAACAGGGGATTGGATGGGTGGGGCTCGGCGGGGGGCTCTAGTTCTGGATGCAGGGGGTGAGCCTTGGTGGGATAGGGATTCAAGTGCAGGGAGGGTGGCTCGATGGAGCGGGGGCTCAGTGGAATAGGTGAGTCTGAATGCAAGGGGATTGTGCAGACATGGGAGCAGCTCCCCATACAGTGACCCCTTCTCCTTGTGACCGAGGAGTAATGTGGTCAGGAAGTGCGGGAGGGATGTGGCCTTTCCTGGGGTGGGTCTGATTTGGCCCCAGCTGCTCCAGAGGAAGAGAAAGTTCCAGTCCCCCCGCCCCCAGCAGCTGAGCCAGGTGCAGAATTCCAATTCTCCCAAGAGCAATTCACTCTGTCACTCACCTGGGCTGTACACTGTGAAAGCAGCTGAGCCACCTGGTTCTCCTGGGTCACTGCTTTCCTGACCTCCCCTTACACAGATCATGAAGGCGAAACTTACCTGCTAGCAGAGAACACGTGGCTGAACTCCCTCAACATTCCTCTGTGCCCCCTTAAGGGGATGAGGGAGAGGGGGGACAAGCAGCAATGCCAGGCGCTCTATGCCTGCTGGTCAATTTCCCCACGTGGGCTGTGCAGTAAGTCAACAGGAGCTGCTCCCTTATATCCCTGCCCTCCCCTTATACAACCTACATGGGCAAACTGACTGGCAAACACAGAGTGCCTTGTGTCGCCGCTCACCCCCTGCCCCCCAATGTTCTTTCGCGGGGAGGAAGCAGGGCTAAGGAAGAAATCTGTATGCTCCCCCCATGCATCCCCTCTGCGACATATTCAGTTGGGGGGGGGGGCAATGCTTCCCCCTCCCACAAAATCCCTGCTTATGGTTATCACTAAACAATTATCAAGACACTAAGAACTGGAGAAAACCCAGGCCTGAACAGACTGGAGTGATTCATTTTTGTCTGCCACAGCAATTGGAAGGAACTGAGGTGGTAGGGGGCACCTGTGCCCCCTTATAAAGCCTCACCCTCAGAATGTTTGGAAACACTGAGGGGAAGACTAGGAGATGGTGTGCAAGGACTCTAACAGGCACTGCTTTGAGAAAGTTCTGCCATTAGGCTCCACTAGGCAGTGCAATACCCATAAGTGGAAATAGCAGAGCTACTCAAAGAACCCTCATTTTTCCATACTCTCTCCATCTCCTTTTTGTTTGCCATCATTCTTTGGGGCATGGATTTGTCACATTATTTGTCTGTAAAGCACTGTGTGTACTCATGATCCTATGTAAAAAATGTCTAGAAAGTCCTAATTTTGTAAATAAGCAACTTGTTTCTGAAGATTGGAAAAACAACAGCCTGGAACAGATCTTACTTAGAGACTCTACCAACAGCATATCACCACACAGTCTCTTTCATATAAGGTGTACACTGGATTGTTTATGGTTAGTGTGACAGAGGTTACAAGGGTAGTTCTCACCATGGCAGCCAAGAAGGGGGAAACTGTATGGAGCGAGATTTACCTGAGCAAGAGATAGCAAAAGGCAGCAAAAGGGCAGCTGTGCTCTATTCCTTACTTTATCCCCAAGTAAATCACTCCCTCCCTTTCCATGTTACAACAATTAGCTGAAAAAAAGATTGCATGAAAAATATCTGGCAGGTAGACTTTCCAGGCAAAACTACTATTGAACAGTAAGCTTTTGACCAAACAATTTTGAGCTTGATGCTGTAAAGTGCTGAGAACTAGCCCAATCCAGCAAAGTACTTAAGAATGTACTTAACACTGAAAAGCATGTTAATCGGCCAATTGACTTTAATTCCAGCATCCCTTTTGTTATTTGCATTCAGACAAAGTAACCTGGTAAAATGCTTATTAGAATTTAAGATTCCGTACTTGAGACTGCTGACATCGCTTTCCCATTCCACTTTTTGGTGATCCAGCATGGATTTCAATTCTCTGGTCTCTTCCAATACTGCTTGTAGCTCTTTCTTTTCATTCTCCAGCTTTCTTACTTTTCCCAAAAGCTGTGTATAGCGGCCCTTTTCACGTTCTATTAATCGTTCATATCCATGAAGTAAGTTCTGAATTTTCAAGAGACTAATAGAATCTGCTTTGTGAAGAAAATCAACAATGTAAAGATATGTGCAGATTTCAATTTGCAAAAAAACCAAAAGCACTTCAGATTGCTTTAATTTTCTATACTGTATCTGGAAACAAATGTAAATGTCTCTTTCAGTACTATTCAAAATCCAATATAACAAACATAACAAATGCTTGCATAGTACTTGCTTGCAGATTTCTTTTGCATCTCTGTCGAAGAAGAAATATTTTCTAAAAATACTTCTGTTCACTGTATAATTTATGTAAAATACATAAACTATCATTTACATTAGAAGTGCAATGTTAAAATTTTATTTTTATTTTTATTTCATTATGCGAAGTACAAACCAGATTATACACACACATATTCTGTGTGCGTGTGTGAACATAAAACATTTTATACCTCCAGTGATTGTGAATGCATGTCCAATTCAGTAACTTCTATATACTACAAAATGCATGCTTCTACAGTGAGGAGGCAATTTTCAAAGGCATAAAGAGGAATTGGGCACCTAACTGTCTTTTATGTCTTTGAGAATCTCCGCTTGCAATACCCAATAAAGAAATTTTGTGGCATGTTAAGTGGTCATCGCTTGTTCTAAGTAAAGATACTGTAGAGTAAAGATTATACAGTAAAGCTACATCACTTCTGTGCAAAATGGAGACAGATATTAAGTTTGATCTCTACTTCCCCTGACAAAGGTATTACAGAGGCCACATACCTAGCTCTGGGGGTGGGATAAAGGAGCCCTTTGCAGCTGCAATACCGGATACCATAGTCTCTTTAAATGCCAATGCTAATAGATTCTGTAGTGTCTGGCTGCTGCTTGTGGAAGCTAGACAAATAATGGGGGGAGGGGAAAGGGGGAAGGAAAATATCTAGCTAAAGCTCAGCAAATCTACAGAGAATGGGGAGGAGATTCTGTGGCATCTCTATAGCTTTGTCTCCACTGCAATTAAAACCCTGCGACTGGCCCATGGCAGCTGATTCAGGCTTGCGGAGCGTGGGGTAACAGGCAGTTTAATTGCAGTGTAGACATTCAGGCTTGGGTCAGAGCCCAGACTTTAGGGCCCTGAAAGGTAGGAGGGTCACAGAGCCTCAGGGCTGTAGCCTGAGCCCGAATGTCTAAACTACAATTAAGCATCTCCTTGAGTCCTGAATCTGAGTCAACTGGCATGGGCCAGTTGCAGGTTTTTAATTGCAGTGCAGACATACTCTAAGAGGCTATCTCCCTTAATACCTTTGCTGGGGATTTTCCTCCCCCTGTTGTGTGGCTGGCTCTGGGGCTTTTAGAGACCTTTTAAGAGGTGGAACAGGCCCTTTTACCCAGTCTATGAGGGTTATTCTGGCTTACTACCCTGAATCAGTGCTTCAGACAGCCAGAGCTCCCAGGGAATATATCCTTCTTTATGGTCAAAGGAGACAATAAGTTTGGGAACAAATAGCTAGAAATACCAAGGATTTAAAAATAAATATGTGCTTTAATTTACAATGAGAATTCCAAGACACACAGGTGAAAAGCATTAATGTTGTCCAGAAATTGAAATCATTTGTCTTCTGTTGCTATGGAAACATAACTCTTTTACCTTTGCCATCCATACTAAGCTGCTCTATCAGCAACACAGCATCTCTGTAGGTTGAAGCAGACAACTCAAAGTCCTCTGTAGCAGTGTCAGAAGACTGAGTTAATTCATCAAAATCATCTGCAACATCCATCTGTTTGCCAATCTACAAACAAGACATAATTTCATGAGTAAAAAAAATGCAAATTACCGTACGTTATAACAAAAGCAGGGTTATTATTAATTTACTCAACTATTTCCCACACATTGTGGTCTCAAACATAATAGACTGTTAACTCTTCAGAGAAGGGACAGTGATTTACATATCTGGTGAAACACCATCCCATTTATGAGTGCATAAAGTGCTATATAAATGCTTAACATTTAAAGCAATATTTTTGTTTAGTAAGCTATTTTACAGTACCTTGTTCCTTTCATCTACTGTTCTGGCTCCAGGTCTAGAAGACAAAAATAAAATTTTGATATCGGAAAACTGATGTTTTTGTGAAGGTCAAAAGTATACACAGGTTCAAAAAAGAATTAGATAAGTTCATGGAAGATATATCTATTAATGGCTATTAGCCAAGATGGTCAGGGACGCAACCCCATGCTCTGGGAGTCCCTATACTTCTGACTGTCAGAAGCTGGGACTTTATGACAGGGGAGGGATCACTCATTAATGGCCCTGTTCTATTCATTCCACCTGAAACATCTGGCACTGGCCACTGTCAGAAGACAGGATACTGCGCTAAGATGGACCATTGGTCTCACGCAGTAAGGCCATTTATTTGTTGCAATTATCAGTGTGTCAGGCATCTGTACAAAGGAAGAGATGCTCTAAACATCTGTAAATAGGATAGCAGACAGTCCCTGAGGATTTTCTGTATTAAAATATATTCCAAGCTATGAAAAACACTGAGAACTGTTATTTTAGATTACAAACTCTTTGGGTAGAGACATTAGAATTTGTTTTGCGAAGTCCCTCGCAAAACAAATTCTAAGCTCTGCTGGTACTACAGTAGACACTCATCAGTAGCAACATATCAGTGCCCTTTTGCTATCATGGAATCATAGGACTGCAAGATACCTTGAGAGGTCATCTAGTCCAGTCCCCTGAACCCATAACAGGTGTTGATCTAACCTGCTCTTAAAAATCTCTAATGAAGGAGATTCTATAACCTCCCTGGGCAATTTATTTCAGTGCTTAACCACCCTGACAGTTAGGAAGTTTTTCCTAATGTCCAACCTAAACCGCCCTTGCTGCAATTTAAGCCCATTGCTTCTTATCCTATCTTCAGAGGTTAAAGAGAACAATTTTTCTCCCTCCTGCTTGTAATAACCTTTTACGTACTTGAAAACTGTTATATCCCCTCTCAGTCTTCTCTTCTCCAGACTAAACAAACCCAATTTTTTCAATCTTCCCTCATAGGTCATGATTTCTAGACCTTTAATCATTTTTGTTGCTCTTCTCTGGACCTTCTCCAATTTGTCCACATCTTTCCTGAAATGTGGCACCCAGAACTGGACACAATACCCCTAATCAGCACAGAGTAGAGAGGAAGAATTACTTCTTGTGTCTGTCTTACAACATTCCTGCTAATAAATCCCAGAATGATAACTGCTTTTTTTGGAACAGTGCTACACTGTTGATTCATATTTAGCTTGTGATCCACTCTGAACCCCAGATCCCTTTCTGCAGTACTCCTTCCTAGGCAGTCATTTCCCATTTTATTTGTGTGCAACAGATTGTTCCTTCCCTATTTACTTCAGGCCATTTCTCCAGTTTGTCCAGATCCTTTTGAATTTTAATCCTATCCTCCAAAGCACTTGCAACTCCTCCTATCTTGTTATCATCTGCAAACTTTATAAGTGTACTGTCTACGCCATTATCTAAATCATTGATGAAGATATTGAACAGAACCAGACCCAGAACTGCTCCCTGTGGGACCCCATTTAATATGCCTTTCCAGCTGGACTGTGAACCACTGATAACTACTCTCTGGGAATGGTTTTCCAACCAGTTATGCTCCCACCTTACAGTAGCTCCATTTAGGTTGTAGTCCCCTAGTTTGTTTATGAGACGGTTACACGAGACAGTATCAAAAGCCTTAATAAAGTCACGATATACCACACCTACTGCTTCCCCCCTAGCCACAACGCTTGTTATCCTGTCAAAGAAAGCCCTTAGGTTGGTCTGACATGATTTCAAATCCATGCTGACTGTTACTTATCAACTAATTATCTTCTAGGTGTTTGCAAATTGATTGGTTAATTATTTGCTCCATTATCTTTCTGGGTACTGAAGTTAAGCTGATTTGTCTGTAATTCCCTGGATTGTCCTTATTTCCCTTTCCCTATGCTGCTCTTAAGTGGCGGTTGCTGTTATGGGGAGTGTCTGACCAAAAGCATATGAAGAGTTAAGAGGGTTTTGGAAGGGATGTGGCAGCCACATTGTGAGGGGGAAGTTAGGGTGTGTGTATGTGTGTGTGTGACCTCAAGTTTGGGGGGAACTGGGCAGCGGAACCCTGTGTTTGGCAGGGGAACCCCCAGTTGGCAAAATGGCTGAGCAAGCCTGGCTGCCAGGGCCAGGCTGAGGATGCTCCCACTGGCAGGTTCATGCTCCACCCTGGACAGGTCAGTGCCCTGACCCCTCACTGTAAAACAGCATACCCACACCCCACTGCCAGCAATCGAGATACCCACACCCCACTGCCAGCTCAGTGCACGGGGGGTCTCCACTGCAAAATAGCGGCCTCCCCATCCCCACCAAGCCAGACGCTGAGGAAGGGAGAAAGCCCTCTAGCTGTGCCTCTGATGCTCCGTCAACCCCAGCTCCCTGCCCCCCAAAATCCCTTTCTTCCAGATCTTCCCCCAAAACTCTCCCCCACACATGCTCTCTACACAGGTTCTGTCAGGCAGGGCAAGTGGACAGGGATGTGTGCTCTGGAGCTTCGCTGAAGGGCCAGGGTCGCAAGGGGAGTGCAAGTATGCAGTTTGGGGAGGCAGTGCCCCTACATGCCCCCTCAATCTCCACCACTGGATATGATATCACAATGTCACAAATATTGATCTTATGCGATGGCTATGTTGCTGTTACCGAGTGGACACAGTTGGGAAAGTGTTTCTCATAGCGGCAGTTGCTTTTATAAGGTGTTGCTACAAACAAGTGTCTATAGTATTACTCACAGCTGAAGAATAACTTTGTCACCGAATAAAATTACAAGAGCAACAAAAATAAGCTAAGAATGACTTTGACACTATGCTGTTAATTTTATGTCATGAAAATGTGTTGCAATGGGTAATATCACAATGAAATAATGGAAATCAGTGATCTTCTCATGTGGGGCTCTGCAAGGAGGCAAAAATATTTGTGAGATACTGTCACTTATCTATGTAAGCACCAATCTGTTTCCCCTTCTCACCAGTTAAATAGCAAAGTTGAGAGCAAAGGAAGAACAGGAGAGCAGCACCACCCTACCCCAGCAGGGAAATGGATAAGATGTAAAAAAAAAAAAAAAAAACTATCACAAACAAATGCTAGCGAGTAACTTTTCCTTTTCGTAAGTCTTTCTTCTGCCCTCGTCTAATATGCATTCAGGATATTTAGTGAATGTTGAGACGAGAACCCAACATTTACTTAACAGCGATACTTGAAGGACCCAGGCCCAATGAGAGAGCACTGGGATGCAGAGGAGTTCAACTCATATTGTTATATGAAGGAATGTGGAGACAACAAGGTTACTGTCTGGCAGTCATCCAAGCAGATAAAGTGACAACCCCTATAACAGAATGTCACTGAACCTCCTAATGGTGAGTAATGGCCAGCCTTCTTGTAAGCTAGACAGTGTTTCTCAATGACTGGTCCATGAACCAGCGCTGGTCCCTAAGATCTCCCTGACACAGTTTAGGAAGGTAGCAAGCTGGTCCCTGCTATCTAAAAGGATGAGAAACACCTGAGCTAGAAGATACAAGTGCATACCCTTCTAACAATGGTAGTCTTCATTATCAATTCATCTCTACTGCAGCTATCAAAAAAGGCTAATGTCCACATTCACAAACACCATGTGAAGTTCTTTAAATGGGGAAAAGTAGTACCCTAACCATGCTCCAATCCCCCATGAAGATGCCAAAAAGGAAGGCTAGGTGGGTTCTTTCCTTTTTTATTTTGCTTTTCCTCCTATACTCCTATCTTTTTTCCCTAAAAGAAAAAGACTACAGGCTGGTCTTCACTGTGGGGAGATCAACGCCACTGCCCACAGATTCCTTCTGCAGGAATTCCATGTATATCCCCTCACACACCAACTAAATTGTTGCTTCAACCCTTATATGTACGTGCTGCAGTTGGGGTGTACCTGGTCCACCCAACATTCTCTGGGGTGTACCACCCATCCATGAAGCAGGGATCAATTTGGCGGGTGAAGACCAACTAAATCAACAGCAGAGCGCTCTCCAAATCGACCCCAGTACTCCAGCTCCCCGAGAAGATTCAGGTAAGTTGACGGGAGAGCATTGGGGGGGAGGGATAGCTCAGTGGTTTGAGCATTGGCCTGCTCAACCCAGGGTTGTGAATTCAATCCTTGAGGGGGCCATTTGGGATCTGGGGCAAAAACTGGGGATTGGTCCTGCTTGGAGCAGGGGGTTGGACTAGATGACCTCCTGAGGTCCCTTCCAACCCTGATATTCTATGATTCTATGACACAGCACAGTGAAGTCACTGCGGTAAGTCAACCTAAGTTACGTCGACTCCAGCTATGTTATTCACGTAGCTGGAGTAGCATAAATTAGGTCAACTTACCCCTGTAATGAAGACAAGCCCTAAGCATTAAAAGAAGAGAAGGGGAACAGAGCAGTACTAAAATGAGGGCTACACACTTCTGAATAAAAGGAAGCAAAAGAACCTGGAGAGGAGGAAGGTTTTTATAGATAAGAGAGAGTGAGCTCTCAATTCATTTGCCTCTTTATTTCCTGGCATACTACACACTTTTTGAGAAAATTATTATGGAAGGGATGGTATATGGTCATGGTACTAGTGGACAAACAGCAAGATGGATGGATGGGGCATGTCAGACCACTGGAAGGTCAGCTGTTGAGAGCTCAAGTTAGCGATGGATCGTGAAGGCTACCAAAAATTCTGCTACAATGTCACTGATATTCAGACATGAATAAATAGATTTACTATACTTTTTAGCAAAAAGAAAAGGAGTACTTGTGGCACCTTAGAGACTAACCAATTTATTTGAGCATAAGATTTCGTGAGCTACAGCTCACTTCATCGGATGCATACTGTGGAAAGTGTAGAAGTTCTTTTTATATACACACAAAGCATGAAAAAATACCTCCTCCCACCCCACTCTCCTGCTGGTAATAGCTTATCTAAAGTGACCACTCTCCTTACAATGTGTATGATAATCAAGGTGGGCCATTTCCAGCACAAATCCAGGGTTTAACAAGAACGTCG